GATCATGACCTGAGCCGAAGTTGGCCGCCCAACCGACTGAGCCATCCAGGCGCCCCCAAAAATTTTTTTAATAAAAAAAAATAAAACACATAAAACAAAAGTATGCTGAGAAGCTTACATTCTAGAGGAGAGGGAGGAGCCAATAAACAAGTTATTTACAGTAGTACTTAAGATTGTGATAATTGCTATGAATAAAAAATTAAAAATTATGCAAGGAAGAGGAACAGAAAATGCAATCTAAAAGTTTGCAGTTTTAGAGTGGAGAGGAAAGCCCTGGCTGCTGAGACGGTACCCTGAACAAAGGGCAAAGGAGCTAGCTATGCTGGTATGCAAATATTTGGGCAAGTGTACTAGGTACTGGGAACAAGTGCAAGGGCCCTCTTGACACCTCTAACCTATGTAGCTGTAGCAGATTGAACTGGGGGAGGAAGAAGAGATCAAAAGGTAATGGACACAGTAAGTAAGGGGCTAACCCCTAGGTCAATGTTGAAAGGGACTAGCAAAAGTGAGGACACTGGTAGGTCTGACTCATTGGGGTCATTAGTGGGACAAACTACCACACACCTTCTTCCTCTGAGAGAAGGTGGGGTGGAGGCTACTGGAAGGGGCACCAAAGTTATATTTAACTGAAGAAGCAATGCTTTAGTTTGAATTTAGTGGTTTAGTTCTTGATAGGCATATGGATATTCATTGTATTACTTTTTATTTCAATTTATGTGTATTTTGTGTTTGAATTTATGAAACTCTGTCCCATTGGAAACAGTGAAGATAAAAGAGGGCTAAAAACTCATCTTGGGGTAGGTCAAAAGGAAAAGAGCAAAAGAAGAGTGGGGAAAAAAATAGAAGCAAGAGGAAAACTGCAAAAGAGGAGTAATGTGGAAGCTAAGAGGAGAGAGAGAAAGCAAAGGGATTAATGGAAAGAGATTCCACAGAAGGGTCAGATAAGATGAATCTACCCCCCCAAAAATGAAAACATATTAACAAAAGCGGTGAGAGGTGAGAGGTGCCTGGGTGGCTCAGTCAGCTAAGCGTCCAGCTCAGGTCATGATCTCATGATTTGTGAGTTTGAGCCCCACATTGGGCTCTCTGCTGTCAGCACAGAGCCTGCTTTGGATCTTCTGTCCCCTTCTCTCTGCTCCCTCCCCTCCGCCCCCGCTGCTTGTTTTCTCTCTCTCTCTCTCTCTCTCTCTCTCAAAAAAAAAAAAAAAAAAAAAAAAAAAAGTGGTAAAAGCAGGCATCCTTGTCTTGTTCTTGATCTTAAATGGAAAATTTTTCAATCTTTCATCATTGAGTATGTTACCTGTGGGTTTTTCATATATGGCCTTTATCATGTTGAGGAAGTTCCCTGCTATTCTTAGTTTACTGGGTGTTTTTTATCATGAAAGGGTATTATAGTCTTTAAGATTTAATTTTTTTGAACATTTTTTAAAGTTTATTTCTTTACTTTGAGTCGGGGGCAGAGAGAGGGAGAGAAAGAATCTCAAGCAGACTCTGTGCTGTCAGCATGGTGCCTAATTTGGGGTTCAGTCTCATGAACCTGTGAGATCATGACCTGAGCCGAAATCAAGAGTCAGACACTTAACCAACTGAGCCACCCAGATGCCCCTATTTTTTTTATTGTGAAATATAGATAACATAAAATTTACAGGCAGAAAAATGAATTTGGGTCCTTACCTAACATATATATGAAAATTAAAAATTGATCAAACACCTACATGTAGGATATAAAATTTAGAAGAAAACACAGTTGAAAAGCTTCATAACCCTGTATTTGGCAATAATTTTTTAGATATGACACCAAAGGCACAGGTAATAAAAGAAAAAAACAAATTGGACTTACCAAAATTTAAAACTTTCGTGCATCAAAGGCCAGTCAACAGAATATAAAGTAACTCACTATTTGCAAATGACTTACCTGATAAGGGATTCTTATACAGAATATATAAAGAACTCCTAAAACTCAACAACAACCCAGTTTACATGAGATGTCTTTCTATTTATTTATCTCTTTCTTTCAGCAATGTTTTATAGTTTTCATTGTACAAGTCTTTCACCTCCTGAAATAAATTAATTCCTAAGTATTTTATTCCTTTTAATGTTATTATAGATGGAACTGTTTTCTTAATTTCTTTTGGGTTGCTTATTGTTAATGTATAGTAATGCAACTGATTTCTGTGTGTTGATTTTGTACTACTACATTGCTCAATTTATTTTTTCTAATAGTTTTTTTCCCTGTCAATCCTAACATACATCTGTGTATGTAGGGTTTTCTACATACAAAATCGTATCTTTGGACAGAAATAATTTTACTTTTTCCTTTCCTATTTGGATGCCTTTTGTTTCTTTTTCTTGCCTAGTTGCTCTAGCTACAATTTCCAATACCAT